TTGCTTCGCTGCTCACCTGTTGTTTCCATCCCAAGACTCCATGGATATTTGTATCCAAGACGGATTCTTGCTGTTACTGATTCTCTCCCGCGACCTCCTCCTCTTGCCAGCAGCAACCCATGTTGTACCATCGTACAGATTCACTGGTTTGTGCTTCTATCCTCCTTTGTCAGCAGCAACCATGTTGTACCAGCGTACAGATTCACTGGTTTGTGCTTCTATCCTCCTTTGTCAGCAGCAACCATGTTGTACCAGCGTACAGATTCACTGGTTTGTGCTTCTATCCTTCTTTGTCAGCAGCAACCATGTTGTACCAGCGTACAGATTCACTGGTTTGTGCTTCTATCCTTCTTTGTCAGCTGCAACCATGTTGTACCAGCGTACAGATTCTCTGGTTTGTGCTTCTATCCTCCTTTGTCAGCAGCAACCATGTTGTACCAGCGTACAGATTCACTGGTTTGTGCTTCTATCCTTCTTTGTCAGCAGCAACCATGTTGTACCAGCGTACAGATTCACTAGTTTGTGCTTCTATCCTCCTTTCCTCAGTTACCTTGTTACGGTGATGTTGTCTGACAACATCACCTCTAACTTGTAAAAGAATCTTGGGTATGAAGTATTCAATATGGCCTCCTTCAGCGCCTTCAGCAGCCAGCACATCTGCTCGTGGTTACTGTGTGTAGTGATGATGGTTACTGTGATGATGGTTACTGTGTTGATGGTTACTGTGTGTAGTGATGATGGTTACTGTGATGATGGTTACTGTGGTGATGGTTACTGTGAAGATGGTTACTGTGATGATGGTTACTGTGATGATGGTTACTGTGTGTAGTGATGATGGATACTGTGATGATGGTTACTATGGTGATGGTTACTATGAAGATGGTTACTGTGTGTAGTGATGATGGTTACTGTGATGATGGTTACTGTGTGTAGTGATGATGGTTACTGTGATGATGGTTACTGTGTGTAATGATGATGGTTACTGTGATGATGGATACTGTGGTGATGGTTACTGTGTGTAGTGATGATGATTACTGTGATGATGGTTACTGTGATGATGGTTACTGTGATGATGGTTACTGTGATGATGGTTACAGTGTGTAGTGATGATGGTTACTGTGATGATGGTTACTGTGTGTAGTGATGATGGCTACTGTGATGATGGTTACTGTGTGTAGTGATGATGGTTACTGTGTGTAGTGATGATGATTACTGTGTGTAGTGATGATGGTTACTGTGTGTAGTGATGATGGTTACTGTGTGTAGTGATGATGGTTACTGTGATGATGGTTACTGTGTTGATGGTTACTGTGTTGATGGTTACTGTGATAATGGTTACTGTGGTGATGGTTACTGTGATGATGGTTACTGTGGTGATGGTTACTGTGATGATGGTTACTGTGATGATGGTTACTGTGGTGATGGTTACTGTGGTGATGGTTACTGTGTGTAGTGATGATGGTTACTGTGGTTGATGGTTACTGTGATGATAGTTACTGTGTGTAGTGATGATGGTTACTGTGATGATGGTTACTGTGATGATGGTTACTGTGACGATGATTACTGTGGTGATGGTTACTGTGATGATGGTTACTGTGATGATGGTTACTGTGACGATGGTTACTGTGGTGATGGTTACTGTGATGATGGTTACTGTGATGATGGTTACTGTGTTCATAGTTACTGTGATGATGGTTACTGTGGTGATGGTTACTGTGTTGATGGTTACTGTGTTGATGGTTACTGTGATGATGGTTACTGTGGTGATGGTTACTGTGATGATGGTTACTGTGATGATGGTTACTGTGATGATGGTTACAGTGGTGATGGTTACTGTGATGATGGTTACTGTGATGATGGTTACTGTGGTGATGGTTACTGTGGTGATGGTTACTGTGATGATGGTTACTGTGATGAGGGTTACTGTGATGATGGTTACTGTGATTATGGTTACTGTGATGATGGTTACTGTGGTGATGGTTACTGTGTGTAGTAATGATGGTTACTGTGTGTAGTGATGATGATTACTGTGTGTAGTGATGATGGTTACTGTGTGTAGTGATGATGGTTACTGTGTGTAGTGATGATGGTTACTGTGTGTAGTGATGATGGTTACTGTGTGTAGTGATGATGGTTACTGTGTGTAGTGATGATGGTTACTGTGGTGATGGTTACTGTGTGTAGTGATGATGGTTACTGTGATGATGGTTACTGTGTGTAGTGATGATGGTTACTGTGTGTAGTGATGATGGTTACTGTGTGTAGTGATGATGGTTACTGTGTGTAGTGATGATGGTTACTGTGTGTAGTCATGATGGTTACTGTGATGATGGTTACTGTGTTGATGGTTACTGTGTTGATGGTTACTGTGTTGATAATTACTGTGTGTAGTGATGATGGTTACTGTGATGATGGTTACTGTGTGTAGTGATGATGGTTACTGTGTGTAGTGATGATGGTTACTGTGATGATGGTTACTGTGGTGATGGTTACTGTGTGT